AATGAGCTTTGAAACTTAGCGAAAATACTCCAACCCAGCGGGATTCTAGTCGAGGATAGTGCCAGCGGCCTTAAGGGAGGTTTGCCCATGGTTACCCCACTGTTTCGAATTTTGGTCAAAATCTCAGACTTTGCTAAAAACTTGCCCCTATGGCTAATTTGATCCCCAGAACACGAATATCACACTCATTCAGCGCAAAAACGCTTGCGTTGTGCGCCACAGACTCCTGCACATCTTCGTCCTCTCTAGCGTCACAGTCGCTCAAATAGACGGCAACGCGGAAATAGACGGCAATGCGAACACAATATTCCCATGAGAAACGACTGCAGCGTTACTTGTTGATGTCCTAGGGCAACCTCAGATTTGGAATTTGTGCGAATTTGGGTGGTTTCTTGTGCCTTACATACATGATGAAAATAGGGGTGACCAGGTCAAAAACCTGCACAACTCTGCTCAGAGAATCGTTTAGCAGATATGGAATGCAGATTTGTAATCAGCTTCCAAAAAGGCATCAGATGGTATACATCTCATCTCGAACGGCCACTTCGACCAAACATCCTTTCCTGGTAAGTTCCTGACGCACGTCTTTGAAAAGGAAATGCTTCACTAATCGGCCTACTCGAGAACGAGATCGACTGCTCCTTTCATGGGTATGAGCAGGACCAGGAGCCCGGTTCAGCGGATGGCCTAGATATTAACTATGATTATCTTGCTTTTTGCAGTCATCTTTTCTGGAAAGAATAGCCACTTTAGAATTTGCTCAAAGTGTCGCAGGAATTTTCGTCTGCTTGATAGAATGTAAAAAAGGCACGAAAACAATACCACGAGACAAAAGGGTTGACTCTAATGCTGATTCAAAAAGAAAGAAACCATCACAACCTTCATTGGACTCAAATAAATACTTACGCTTTGATGCAGTGTTTCGGATACTCCTCCAATTTCGTTATCGTCGCAGCATAGAACCTGAATCACAAGTAAAAACCAATGCGAACAAAAATAAACGGAGATTGCTACAAGTTTCCTTAACAATGACTAATTACTCTGACTATATCAAGTTACCATTCAGTAAACTATTAACTCACGATGCTCTGAACTTGGCGATCACTGGCTGTCCAGTACGTAAGGTCTCACCCAGTATACATGATTCACACAGCTTGTGACTGGCGTTGTGTAGATCTCGGACAATTTCAAGGTAAGACAGGATTCGTGAAAAGACCTTACGCACTGCGAACACTTCAGCAGAGGCTCCTCTCCTTAATGAAAAATTCTCATTCAAGGCAAACAGCCACCTGATTTAAAACATCTGTTTTATTAGTCTTATTAGAATAGTAATTAGCAGACCACTAACGGTAGCCAAACTCATAATGGGTTATAAAAGACAGAATATGTAATGAGAGTAAATTAGAGAATTACTGTACCTGCATTTTCGCACTCACAGCAGAATGGTAAATGTGAGCGTTTATTTTCCACTAGCGGAATAGACTCATAGTCACAGTGAGAGTGGCATCGAGTGAATGTCTGCTTAACCTGGCAAGTCGTAATCAAAGTTTCAAGAGAAAAAGTTGCACTTCAAACTTTCTCATTTCTCTCAAAGATTGTTCAAAGGATTAGACACGTATTGATCCGATGTCAAAAACTTCGTTTAGATCACCTAGGATCGATACTTATCACAGCATAACCGCCAAAACGTCAATTAGGCATTGTTCACACTATGCGGCCCAGCGTTTCTTAGGAAAGAAACGCTCCGGCGAAAAGCTTTCGATCGATTAGCGGTTGGGCGAAGAGTCTAGAGTTTGCGCGAGTGCTCTTGATACGTATCGACGGGCGGTTCGGCGGAGCGGTTGGGCGAAAAACGCTAGCCCGACCACCCTGGCGTTTTTCTCTAGGGCGGAGCCTGCGAAATCGATACGCATCTATTGCTTTTCGCCCAACCGCTGAACCGCGGCGGTTCGTCGAACGGGGCGGTTGGCGATTCTCCGATCAATAAGTATTTTTTGCTTTTCGGTGAACCGACGAGGGTCTCAGACTGTAAACAATACCTTATGACTATGCCGACAAAGTAGTCGTAATGTATGTACGCAGCCTCAATAATGCGAAATTGCTGAGATTCGGTAGGCGTGACCGCGTAGACCGTAAACTTCTTTAGAACATGGCAGCCGCTGTGCTCGGAGATATTTCCATTTCGATTCAATTGTAATCATGTCTTTGTCAAACACAAGGCAAGATGACGTTGACTCGAATTGACATACCAAAAACTGCTCGTCCTACGCAATGTTTACGTGAAGTACGCAGCCACGCCACGAGGGCGGTCGTTCATGGCTTACCCAAAATTCAAAATGGTTCCTTCATTTCGTAGGGGCTTGCAGGTGGATCACGGAAACGGGGGTTCACTTTCGCTGCGCGGTCCCAGGAACGCCAAAAAAAGGAAAAAATACATTAATGTACTCTCATATAAGAGATGTTTAGCGCTGTTTAGCGCCAAAGTGCGTCGGCGCCGGAATAAGAGTCAAAATCGTAATAGGACTATTGGTTACCTCTATAGACGAACTTTCAGTCAGAAATTTTTTTTGATTTTTCGGCTGTGCTAGACAATAGGTCGGCAATGGTTACGAAGATGTAACGATGACGTGGCTGTCGGGACAGCCGTATCGCAAAGTTGGTGCGGTCGTAGTTCTTCCATGCTTAGCATAAGTGTGGGTGGTCGCAGCATCCATGAAAAAGCATCCTGGGCCTTTCTAGACCCCGGCTCGTGGTTCTTCCCCACCAAGAAAAGAGAAATTGTTATCGTTCGAGTTCCTCAACTTTTTTGCAAATGCATCTGACGGAACTTCTACCTTCACTCCCTTGCATAAGTTTCATCGCTGTTGTTAGTGGTTTGTTTGTTTAGGGGGAGTTCGGATAATGAGGATTTACGACTTCAATATAGATACTCTTAGTTCTTAACCCAACGTACAAACCCAGGAAGGTCAAGAATAGTTTTTTTGGCCGAAATCTTGTCTACAGAGATAAACGATGGCCCTGATCACGATTTTGACACTTATTTCCGACGCCGTTGCAATCTGGCTATAGGATAGCACTCAACATGAGTGCAAATATCATTCAGAGGGAGAAAGATGTGGCTCCATATTGGCCAGAAATGGCGCCATAGCGAAAAGCAAGTACCATATTCGTGATTAGAGCACTGACTGGCGAGAAAGATCAATAACTGAATAGTATCGCTGATACATGGGGTATCGCCTTTGAAATGTGCCATAATAAATGGCAATATAATCTCGAGTTTTTATCCAATCCGGAAATGTATGGACGGGAGAAGCAAACCCGAGTGGTGCATAAAAGATTTCGATTGCGAGGAATTGAACTACCACACCCGGTACTGTTGTCCGTGACGAACAATTTCTGACTGCACTTTCGACATGCCATCCGATCCCTTTTGGTTAAACGCGGTTCTAACTTCAAGAAACAACGCATAAGGGGTAGAGTCTGTTGATTTTGTTACGTGATGGGGAGTGTGGTGGGTGTGGTGAGGGTGCGGTAGGGTGAAGGGGTGAGTGGTGATGGGCGGTGGAGGGTAGAGGATGGTCCTCCAAGCACAATAAGCTTCTGCACTACAGAATAACCATTTGCAACAACTTTTCACACCCGCTTTCAATAGTCTCTTTTAAGCAACCTCCGCTTAGGCAACTCCTTGAGCGCAAGTGATTCCTTAGGCATAGAGAGAGGTTCAAAGGAAGCCGTTCACATAGACATCCTTTCGGCTCATTTTTTTTGGGCTTCTGGGAGCCGCCCGTGCGAAGAACGTCTTACAAATGGAAAAATCGTCTTTGAAAAGCGCAGGGCACACCCTGAACCGAACCCGGATCCTTCTGTCAGGGAGTATGTGTTTACTTGTCAGCAAGGGACCCTATTGTATTGGGTTTGTCCGGAAGTTCTCAGCGTTTTGAGTGTTTCACTTTGAACGATCATAACTTTCTTAACACTCATCGGATTTAATCCAAATAAGCACCGTTCGAATCAGCACACTTTTGCCAATGTGAAGCAGTCGAATAAAATCTCCGTAAAGACAAAACTTGGGTGGTCGAAGAATTCACGAAATCCACGAAGGCTTTTTTGCCTGGTCCTGATTGATGAAGTATTTTTCAGCAAGGAAGTTCTGAAAATGTTTGAAAAGGTGATAGTCGGTTGGTGAAAGGTCTGGAGAATATGGTGGGTGTGGTAGAACTTCAACCCCCAATTCGTTCAATTTATGGATAGTGATTTGTGAAACGTGTGGGCGGGCGTTGTCATGCAAAAGAATCGGACCCTTTCTAGTTGACAAGTGCTGGCTGCAGTTGACACAATTTTCGGTACATTTCGTCGATTCCTTCACAGTAGGGTTCTGCTGTAAATGGTTTTGGCCTGGTGGCAAAAAATTGTAGTGGATCACACCAGCCCGTATGACCACCAAACCTGTGACCAGATCTCTTGCTTTTTACCCATCTGCGTACGGGGTCTGCACATGGTGAACCAAACGCATCTTCGTTAGAACGCGCATTTAGCATTGTTAGATGACTGGAAAAGATCGGTAGCTCCTGAAGGTGTCTGGGAGCAAAATATGTGTGGGGGAAATTGCGAGATTGAATAATAGCTAGTTGCTGGCATTTTTCGAGTAATACCTCAACTATTACATTTTTAATTAACTCTCCTTTACCAATAAAACCGAAAATCCTGCTTAGTACACGACTGAAAAATTGTAAAATGGTGTGAGTGAACAGCTTCTAAGCACACTGCGTCACTTTTTTAACTCCTCTTAATTTTATCAAGCTTTTTTGGCTAGTTTCGCATTTTTCGGCTTTACACTTTTATCACGTAACAATATTGAATCCCCTTTAGCATACGTATACTTATAAAAGTGATGCATAATACGATGTGTGTGCAATATTTTTATGTTATATGTATAAGATAAAAATTTTATGTTTTTATACTCAGCGCGCCAGAAATCGCGTCGCGCAATACACTGCGGTACGCAATGGGGTTAAGAAGATGTCGCTTTGGAAATTGCTCGGTGGTTCGGTCGGAATGCAAACGCACTGCCGGAAAGCTCTTCTGCTTCATAATGATCCAGCTTTTCGATAACAGGTGAGATTTGGTCCAAGAAAGCGGTCCGCTTCCGTTGGCGCAAAAGCAGTGAAGAGAACCCTCGAGACGTGCCAATTTCTGCCGGTCACTCAAGTTGTGGGGCACCCAGTTGTCGAGTTTTTTCACCTTCCCAACGCGTTTCAGACTATCCACATCATTGGATTTGTCAAACCGGCGTAGCTTCTCTGCAGATCTCTCAAACTGTTTGGGATGGGTTAGCATGCCACAAAACAGCTTATCCTCGTCAGGTATTGCTTAGGTCGACCGCTACGAGGTTCATCTTCAAGGCTGAAATCTCCAGAACGAAATTTGTCGAACCATTGTCGCACGGTGCTTTCTCCAACACTATGGCCCCCCCACACCTGGTTAATTTGTCGAGCTGTCCTCGATGGCGGATTGACCCAATGTGTAGTTGAGAGAACAATATCGTCCGAAGTTGCTCTTTTGACATGCTTGAAAAACTCTTGAAAAAAGGGGGTCAATCAAGCAATGGTGAAACGGCAATTATACCATCGGATAGCGCAAAAAAATTCTCCTTAGGATGTACTACTGAGACGCAAGGGAGATTTAGTTTTTAATCAGCAATGAATGTACAAAAAATAGTAACACAAAATGCTGAGAACTTTCCGGACAACCTAATAATTATACCATTTTTTGAACTATTAACGGATTCAGCTGGAATGATGCTTTCTCCTTGTTAGTCATCAGGAAAAGGTCGTGAAACATAACACTGACAAATAAAAAAGCAAATCAGATCGATCAGCTGAACCCACTTCCACTTCAAAAGCGCCTTCTTCGTCCTAGCCGGTACGGCTGATATGATCATTACCTGCAATCCAGCCGAAGCCATGCTCATCGAAAACCACCGGAAACATGAATCGGCACTCTATCAAGCTTGCCTGAAAAGTCTCTCTTGTAGCAGAACGAAGCAGATCAGTCAACTTTCACCTAGAGGAAAAGATAGAAAAAAATTCAAACTGAACCGCGCAAGGAGTGATAGCGAGGTAATACCCTGCTTCTACATAGCCGGTTAAACTGTCGATTTCCTTAGCCAGATGAAACGACAGATTCATGTGAAGTGTGATCAATGCTAACGAAACAGATTATATGGCTGCTCGAACCAGCGTTTTTTTTGGAGAACGCCCGCCGAAGGCGGTGATCTACGGCCGGTCGCTAGAGCCCCGGTTCACACATGATCGGCGATTGCTATCCGATCGCTGCGACCCCCATCGATCCTGTGGCTAGGGGTGGTCGGACGACACCCCCGATTCGCAGTTTAGGTCGACACAAGCGATAAGCGCCTTGCCGCAATCGGCGTCAACGCGCGGCGCATGTAATGTCCTACGCAGTGGCACATGCGTTTGTTGGGATTACCAACAGGGTGGGGGGGGGTCGTCTTTGGCCGCCAGGAGAGGGGGGATGTTTTGAGCTGAGAAAAATTTATTCTGATAGATGATTTTCTCGCTTCACGGACGTTGTAAAAAAAGGGGGGGTGGGGGGTCGTATTTGCTCATTGTTGGGAGGGGGGAGCGTATTTACTTTTTGGCCTTCTAGGAGTGGTGGTTGACTTTTCGTGATTTTCCTGTTTCATGCGTACTATATACCCCGCCCCCCCCTCGACAGCAAAATTTTTGGGAAAAAGTAGGGAAGTTTTCGGGAAACTGTTGCAAAAAGTGGCAGGAAATATGGGAAAACCTGGGAATCCCCCATCCCTGCTCGGCGGCGTGCAATTTCGATGCGAAAGGGAAGAGGGCCGGAGGGCGGGGGGGGGGGGCGGTCGTACTAACACCCAAAAAAGGGGGAGAGGGCCGTGCAGACTCGACTAAAATCCCCAACCAATGGTGTGCCCTGGGTCCTATCGATCTCTGGCACCGATCGATCGCATCACAGTATGAGCGCGTTCAACGTGCTGGGAAAATAGGAAATCAAGCGAAATGTAAGGTCGCTAAGCGCCACGCGCTTGATTGATACCATTCCTATTCGGCGCGCATCGCTCTAAGCCGTCGTACTCGCCCGATTTCCCGTGCTTCCAGCCGCAGAGGATGAACGCTGCCAAATGGAGAAACAAAGAGTGGGCATACCTCGAACTGCTGTTGTCTTCCAACGCTCCAGATAACACGTAGAACAAAAATGCAAAGGGCAAAAATAGTTTCATCCACGATTTTTCGAAGACAGTCTACACTGTACTCTGCAGCATTATATCCTAAAAGCATCGGACACGGCAGACGTGAGAAAACTCAAATTGGTGGACTTTTTTGAACAAGATGCTCTCGAACACAAGCGAAAATGCCAGCGGCGGATATGCTATTTTGACAGCTTTACGGCATCATTTTTTCACTCGCTCTTGGTCTCTTCCAAGCAGTCGACGGGAAGCATGGGTCTTGATGCGGTGTGGACATCAACACATAAGCGGACACCATAATCGAGTGGCAGAATACTACAACTTGCACACTTTCCGCACTTTAACTGCAAGCGGTAGTAAATCACTATGTTGGCAAGGGCAGTTTGGCTTGGTGGAGGCACCGAATGGTTCTCACCTAAGTATGAATAGGCCAACTTGTGAGGACCCGTGATTTCCTGTGAACCGCACCATTCCACTAATTCACAAGAGTTTACAGTTTCAACAAAGTGAGACCTGGTATTCGACATGAACAACATAAGGAAAAAGCGAAAATGCGAAATGCTTTGCCAAGCCGAACAGCCCCCACTCATTTTCGTTCTCGATGGTGCACGTCATCTGCTAACAGAAAAATAAACAGAAATCAAAAATGCTAGGAAAAAAGAATTCTTGATGGAAATGACGAGAATGAAAATGACGAGAACGAACTTACCTCAATGCATTTCTCATGAAATTTCGTGGTACAGAAACTGGTCGAGGTGTATTTCTTGCCACAGTTAACAAGATCCCCTCCTTTGCCACAAACGAAGCACACACCTTAAATTGTAAACTACACCTCAAAAAGGAGGCAATATGTAAAAAAAACCGGCGCTGTAGCGCTTGCGGAGGGGGCATCTTCCGACGCGGCTAAGCCACGTCACTTCTTGTTCGTCTGCACTCTTTGATCGAGATAGTGTACCATGTTTTAAACTCTTGCTGTACTTCTTCCTAGACAGTACGGGGCGTGACGAAACCTGCTGGAATGGCCCCTCCCAAGGCACATGGCACCAAAAAAATCTAGCTAAAATGTACCTGAGACAGAATAAGTCCCTACTCTGCCGACCTTTCTGCTTCTTATGGCATAGATATCTATAATACAGTACATTAAATGATTTCTTGCAAAATCGTTGTAGGAACCTCTCTACCTCGCTTAGGTTTCGTACAGGAAGGCGACTTCAGCAGAGAATTATCACCATGAGATTTATTACTGGATGGTGAACTAAAAAATATGACACTAGCAGACTCCATATCGGCACATTGAACAAAGATATTTCTAAAAAGCGAAGACGGATGTAAACAGGTTACAGTCCATACGAAGTCATCTGATGCTACGTTCATACTTTGCGGCAGCGTCCACAAGCGTACTACTACTCAATAACGTACATTGAATTGCATAAAACAATGCTTTAGCAGTAGTACGGTGCGGTTGCACACGATGCAATTTTGCCACGCCTCAGCTACCTGCTCCCTCCTACTTCCCCATGCTCTACCAGCAGTCTGCTGCCCTCCTGCTTCCCCATACTCTCCACTCCTGGACCCTGGTGGACGCTGCCGTTCGCTAGATCGATATCTATATTTTCCTAGTCACTGGCGCCGATGGATGCTCGAAACGCCGGGCGACGCTGCCTCAAAATATGAACGTAGCCTAGTACGATAGACCCAAATACAAAAAAAGAGAAACAAAAACAATTAGAAAACAACTAAATCTTCATAACAGTAGGAAAACAATAAAATCAACAAAAAGTGCAACCACCAAGGAAATTTTCCAGATCTTCACCTGACCACTCCATTACATACACTCGAGACTGATGGCCCTTCACCATGAGCGACTACAGCCCGTTCATTTTCGTCATGATCTCTAACAACTGCCTCTCTTGGAGTCTCTATGGTGGATGTGGCACTGTCCAAACCATTAGACTGATTGATCGACACCGCTTCGCCGTTCCGCACCACTTCGGATGACCGCAAGCTTCCTGAGAGAAAAATTATTTAAAAAGACCTCTACGATCGCAGCATCATCAGCGGCAAATGGG